GGAATCTTACTTTCTAACATTTTGCTAAGTATTTTTGTGGCCGATTTATGAAATACAATATTGGGCTGAAGTTTTCTTTTTTTGGGCACTGATTTTGTCTGAATTAGGCATTGGTAATACTGACTTTATAAAATTAACTGGCAAGTGTTCTATCTCCCATTTCTGAAAGAGATTGTATAGAGTTAATATTTTTTCCACTTAAACTCACTGGGCCCCAAAATTTTTGGGAGAGATTTTTTGAATTATGGATTGTTTCCTTACAGTTATAGGGTTACTTAAATTAACTACTTCCTATTGGGTGAATTGTGGCATATTGTGTCGTTTGAAGAATTGGACCATTCTATTAAGGTAAAAGTCACCTAACCGGTTGTTTGTAGTGTTCTTGTTTGATACCTTAGGGTGTCTGTTGGACCTATAATGATAACCTGTTTCATTCTTGAAATTGGTAGGTCTTTTTTTGAGATTCTTGGCTACTGGCCTGTCAGTTTTACTGACTTTTTCTTCTTCTTCAAGGAACCAACTTGTACAGGGCCAGTTTTTAGATGTTTTATTTATTTACTTTTTGCTTTCAGTGTTACTGCTTTTTTTCTTCAATGTGGTTTTTAAAAAATTTTTACAAGCTTGTAAGAATAGAGCTTTAGATTATTGAGTTCCATTCTTTTAAATTTTACAAGAGTTTGTAATTTTTCATGAGATCGGAAAAATATATTTTGCTAAATGAAAGGTACTTTTGGTTGATGATGTTGAATTTTTTGTGTCCTTGTTGATTTTCTGTGTTAATAATTGAGAAATAAGTTATTACATCTCTCAATTATTTTTGTATCCTATTTTGTATCCATTACATGTCTATAATCTTAACCTTTTATGTACTTACTTATTTTTTAATTTGAGGTTTTGTTTTGTTTTTTTTGAGATAAGGTCTCATTATGTAGTTTAGGCTGTCCTTGAACTCTTCGTGGTCATCCTACCTCAGTCTCCCAAATGCTAGGATTATAAGCATATGCTACTACACTCAACCTTTTACTTTAAAACTCTGTGTACATTGTTACATTTGTATAAGATTCGTGTAAATGACATGTAGTCAGGTCCTTCTGATATTCTCTGCCAATATCTCTTAGTTAGTGTATTCAGATGGTCTGTAGTTAAGCCTTGGCATCAGCAATTACATTAAGTCTGCCATTTTATTTATTTTTGTTTGTTTGTTTCTTTCTCTGGGTTTTCTTTCTTTACTTCCAGTAGGTTGTGTGAACATTTTTTAGAATTCCATTTTTATTTATGTGTATGGTATCTTTGAATGCATTTCTTTGTGTGGCTTTTTAAGTAGTTACTTTAGATGTTATATGTGTAACTAATTATAGGCTGCTGTGTATTGGCATTTTGCCAATTCAAGTGGAGTGTAGAATCCTTTGCTCTATCATTTTTTTTCTCCGTAATTGTCTTAAAATATTTATATTTGAAATCCACATCAGATATTATAATTTTTTTCAACCATTACATATAATAAAGAAGGAAAGGAGAGATTATACTTGCCTTGCTTTTTCTTTTTCCTTATTTATAATTCAAAATACTCATTTATTTGACTTTTTTGTTGGTTTTTGAAGTGGGGTCTCACTGTGTAGTTCAGACTTGCCTCAACTTCCCAAGTGTTGAGATTACAGGATTGTGCTACCACACCCGGTTCCACTTTACTATTTTCTTTCTGTTTGAGAAACTTCCTGTAGCCATTCTTTTATTTTTAAATTTGCTGTTGACAAATTCACTTGTCTTCATCAGAGAATGGCCTCATTTCCTCTTTCCTAACGTATACTTTCACTAAAGGTAACATTCTAGTTTCACAGGATTTTGGTTTCATTTCATTTTGTTTTGAGGATCTGAAAAATATTTGTCCCCTCTCTGGCCTCCATAATTTTCTGAGAAATCTTCAGAAAATGTGAAAAATCTTCTTGTCATTAGAATTGTTTTTCTGTCTTACTGCATTTAAGATTTTTGTTTTGGACTTTTATTGTTTAGATTGAACCTAAGTATATTTTTAGTTTAGTATTGAGTAATTTTACTTGGATTTGTTTATAGTTCACTGATTTTAAGGAATTTATTGTAGGCATATGTTTTGGGGCCTGTATTGTCCCAAACTGGGAGACTTTTCAGCCATTAGTCAAATTCTTTTTAGCTCCTATTTTTTTCCTTCATTTAGATGTTAGACCTTGGTTAGTCTCAAAGACTTTGTTATTTTCTTACAGTTACATTTTTTTTCTGTTCAGATTGGGTACTTTATATTTTGTTTTTTAAATTCTTGACTCTTCTATTAAACCCATCAATTGAGTTTTAAATGTTGATTTTAATAGTGTTACTCATTTCTAAAATTGCCATGTCTTAGGGCTAGGGATATAGGTCAGAGGCATAGCACCTGCCTGGCGAGGTACTAAGTTTGAGTCCTAGTAAAAAAAAAAAAAAAAAAAAAAAAAAAAAATACAGTTTCCCTATCTCTTCTTAAGGGGCTTTTTTTTTGGGGGGGGGGGTTTGTGCCCATTGCAGCATTTTATGATTTCTGCTTTAAAATCCTTGTCAGATAGTTTAGATACATTACCTCACTGTTGGAATCTGTTTTTTTTAAAGTTGAGATTTTTCTGATAAGTAATTTTTGCTTGAGATCTAAATATATTGGGTATTATGACATACTGCATCTTTTAAAAAGATCTTTTATTGTGGCAGGTTTCCTCTGATATTTTGTGGTTGGGACAGCGGGAGACACAGGATGCCTCATTACTGCTTATCTAGCAGTTTCCATTGCTTTTGTATACAGTTGGTTGTGGTATTACTACTTGGATAGTTGTGAATGTCCTGACTACTGGGCTTTCTGGGATACTAGCCCACCAAGAGACTAAGAAGAGAGTTAGCTCATTACTGTAGGGGGTAGGGAGAATAGATAATCACTTGAGGTACATAGTTCTGACCTGGGAATGGTTCCACATTAGGCCTTTAGAGGTACAAGTAGACAGAAGCTTGCAGGTTTTTCTGTGGTATTTGACTAGAACAGAGCATTTGTCTGAAAGCTTGTCTTATTAGGCTACCACTTTTGTTAGTTCTGTGGCTAGAAATAGCAGGCTTTTGTTGAGGTTTTTTTCTTTCTTTACACTTCTGAGTTGTTGCCTTTGACATTAGAGACAAAGGAAAAGAAAATATGGGAAACTTGCATTCTGTGGTTCATGTTCTTGGGTTTCCCACTTGTCTGCTTTCTCTCACTTTTCAGAGAAATATGTTTGCTTTATATATGATACTTGGACTTTAAAATTATTATACTGAATGGAATAAATAGGGAAATGTACATCTATTCTGTTTTGGTAGCAGCAGTAAAAAATCAGTAGTTTTAATTTTCTCCTTTTAGAATTTAACCAAACCATAAGAAAGGATTTCTGAATTTAGGTAGGATGCAGGATTAAGGTATCTTAATGGTCTCAAATCTGACAGGGAGTCAAAATCACTAGAAAAACATGGTAAAGTGGATTCCTATACTTAACTTCCAGAGAGTTTCAATCTGGCACAAGAACCTAGGAATTTGTAATTTAGAATGCTATCTAGGTGGTTTTCAAATATAGCTGTTAGCTCTGGTGAATTATTTTTACTTTCTTATGCTTTAATGCTTTCTGTGAAAGTCTCTAATAAGTAAATATTCTTGGCCAGGGATGAACTGCAGTGGTTAGTGTGCTTGCCTATTGTAACTTGTTAGATCTTGGGTTCAGTCCCTAGTGCCTCATCCCAATCCTGGTACAAAAACAAAAACTTTACCAGTTTCCTTACTAAGAAGTACTTGAGCCATTTTAGAATTATTAAGTTTTTGCCTTCTTAGAGACTCATAATCAGTGGGGTTTGGGCTAAGACGAGTCTTGAGAAAACTCCCTGGTTATTGATCCCATGGTATACATAATGAAGAAGCATTAAAATTAGGTAAAGTCTAACCTATTGAGCAGATAAGAACTTGGGTAACAGATAACCTGTAACACAAGAGTTTCAGAAGTCTGAAAAAGGTGAAGAAATTCTTCCTGTAGCCTTGTGGTTAAATGCCCTGTGACCCCTGAAGGGCTGCCACCTCTGACTGTATAGGTTGTCATGTAAAAACTGTAGGGCCGTTATTTGCCTACACTGGGATTTCCAAATCCTGTTGAGGTTGAACCATATACTTTGGGTTGGAGTAGCTGTCCTGTTCTTCATTAGATGGTTAGTAGTATCCCTGGCCTCTATCAACTAACTAGAGGTCAGATATATTACCAAAAGTTCTTTAGTAGGAAAACCACTGACCTAGACAGTAATGTTTATTGTATTCTTTACTAATTACAACTTAAATAGAAGAATGTACACAGAAATTTAATGTTAATGATGGGGAAAGTACAACTTCACAACTCATTGAGATTCCATCCCCATGTCAATGTCTGGATATTTAACCACTGTTGATACTGTGTCTTCTTGCCCTGTTTATAATCTGATTGCTGAGGCCCTTTCAATGAGTTCACTTTTCCTGTGATACCTATTGAGCATTTATCTACCACATGGCACAGACAACTGTGTGTAGATGAAGAATTAACAGTTAAAAAGTAAAATGAACCACTAATGGTTAGAAGTGAATTGGAAAATTGGGAGAGGATGAAACTGGTGAAGGAGGAGTCAAGAGTATAACGCTCTGAATTGTAATAATATGTGTTTGTAAACTGTACCTTTGCTGTAGAACACTGCAAGTCTGGGTGCCAAATTAAAGTTGAACTTTTGATTTGGAAGAGAAATTATGACTTCCAAAATGACTCTTCTAAACAACGTAATTCTTTTGCATTGTTTAAATATGTTGATAATCAGACTTCTTGTCCTTAAATATGGATATACAAATTAATGCGTATCACTGGATTAAATGCATTCTTAGAGCTTTCAATTCTAAAACGATAATGGAATCTTGTATTTAGTTTTTAAAATTCAGATCTACAATTAATACTTGTTTTTCTCATTTTTCTTTTTAGTCTTGTGAAAATGCCATTGTGTGCTGGAAACCTGGCAAAATGGAAGATGATATAGATAAAATTAAACCTAGTGAGTCTAATGTGACTATTCTTGGGCGATTTGATTACAGCCAGTGTGACATTTGGTACATGAGGTTTTCTATGGATTTCTGGCAAAAGGTAGCAGCATATTTTTACCTTTTGAAATTATTTGACTTTTAAAGACCATTGTGATCCTAGCTTTTTCTATTCTTTTTCCTCTAAGAATCTAGCTTGATGTTTTGTTTCAATAACTGCCCTTTGATGTTATGTATTCTACCTTAATGGAGTCTGCACACCATCTGCAGTGCCTATCTTAAATGAAATTGGCAGTTAAATACCAATGGTGGAAGGTAGATGTTACATTTGATTTAATATTTTAGTGAGTAGAGTGTTAATTTCTTATATAGCTTTTATCTTAGAGAAAATTTAGAAAATTCAGCGTTAGAATCCACATATTCTTAATAATCTGACTCCTACTTCACCAGTTTGATCCTCCCCCAAAATACTCATTCCTCAAAGTAAAAGAAATGTGGTTTTAAAAGTTTTTGGTAATAAATTAAGATTTATTCTGTAGGAAAATTTTGGAAGAGCTTTCCACAGCTTTGGTCAAAGTTCTTTAGGGTAGAATAAAAAGCTACCATACTAACAGTATAGAGGGTAAAACCCTCCTCATAAAATTGCAGAACGCCTTCACTCAAGACACCTGTGAAACATTAATTGCTCCTACCCCTATTTACAAATTAGGAATATAAGATTCAAAGAAATAGTCAAGAGCACAATCAGAGGCTAGAGCCAAGGTTTTCTGAAGAAAAATGTCTGGATTGATTGTCTTTGAGTGATTTTATTAATTTGATGTTTTTAAAAATATGTTTATACAGATGCTTGCATTGGGCAATCAGGTTGGCAAACTTTATGTTTGGGATTTAGAAGTAGAAGATCCTCATAAAGCCAAGTAAGTATTTAGAAACTTGTAAAGTGTTCAAAATTTCATCATTTTTTCCAAACTTTTATGCCTGTATAGAGGAAATAATTGTTTTTTGCAGTGTCATCCTTAAATCATTTTAACTTACAAGTTTCAGAGCTAAAATTTTTTTGTTTCAGTAACAATTTGTATTTTCTGAGTACCTTGATGACAAGATATTTGTCTTGCACAAATTATGTGGTGACTGTTGAACTTATAGTCATCCAAATTTTATGAAATTTGAGGTGGAACTCTAATGAAGATTTCTAGCTTTAAATGCTTTTTATGAAAATTGGAACAAATGTTTATTTTCTTACTCTTTTAAGTATTATTTCTTACTCTTTTAAGTATTAAGTATTTCTTACTCTTTTAAAATATTATGTATGACATTTAACTTCTTGTCATGTTTTTTCCCTAGATGTACAACACTGACTCATCATAAATGTGGTGCTGCTATTCGGCAAACCAGTTTTAGCAGGGATAGCAGCATTCTTATAGCTGTTTGTGATGATGCCAGTATTTGGCGTTGGGATCGACTTCGATAAAATATTTTTTCCTAACCAAAATTAGAGTGTGTTGTCTGTGTACAATAGAATTAATGTATCTTGCTAGTAAGGGCACATAGAAAATTTAGACTTGTTTTTCAGCGTTCAATCAGGCTGAGCTTGAATGTAGTGTTTACATTGTTTACATTCTTTGTATTGTCTTCCTGCTCAGACTGTACTGCTTTCAATAAAAATTTATTTTTGTAAAGCTGTGTTTTAGTTATTTTATTGTAATGAAACAATTTGAAAGTAATAAAATTATGCCTTACATTTTTTGTTTTTTTTTTTTAAACTGGCGAAAGACATTTAATCTACAGATTAAGTATAGGCTCTGAAATTAAACTGAATTATAATTGTTGGAGATTGTATTCTTATGTTTCATACTTTTAATGATTTTCTGTGACAATTTCATAAATACTGTACATTTAAAGTTTAAGAGTTAGAATATATATTAATGTTTTCTTGCCATTAGATTTGTAACCAGCAATTAGTAACTTTAGTGGAAATGTTACTAGAACAGAAGATGAGAGGATATAGAAGCTTAGATGCAGTGGGTCAGCTGATGAAAGAAGTAGCGAGTTTGCCCATATGAGTTGCTGCCTTCTTTTCTGAAAGGGATATAACTGGCTAAGTGAGTAAGAGCTAAGTAGGTTTCATAGGGTCCAGGGAGGTGAGATGCTGCTGCTGTTGTTTTTCTCAGACATAGGGTGTGTTGCATTTACTTGTGGATTAAAAAAAAAAAAAAATCCCAAAGAATTAAGACCAGGATTACATGTGGAGGGGTTAATTTGAAGCAGAGGGAATGAAGAAAGCTTGAGTTGAGTAGTTACAGTAGTAACTACTGTAAGAAAGCTTGAGTTGAGTAGTTACAAACCAAAAGTACTGTAGTTATAAAGATAAAGTTACAAGTTAAGGTAAATGAAAAAAACAAACCCCTGAATTTTGTAAAGTTTTTACAAATTAACTTTCTGTTTCTATAAATCATATATTTATAAAATTTTGTTTAAAAGTATAAAATTGTATACTTGTACAGTACCTTACACTGTTACCTTTTTAACTGTTTTGAGGCAAGTTTTATTTCACTGAAAATAATGTTTAACCCTTGGTCAGCAGAAAAATTATTACTGAGACAGTTTACCAGTAAAATGGAAAAAAAACCCTCAAATGCTACGTAACAAAGGATTAAGACAATAAAGTTAAGTTAGCCAGTTCGCAGTCTCTGAAATAAACCTGCTATAGCCAGCTGTGGTGGTGCACGCCTATTATCTCAGCACTCACAAGGCTGAGGCAGGAGGATCATTGCAAGTTCGAGACCAGCCTGAGCTACAAATGAGCATAAGGCCAGCCTGAACTGCATAGCAAGACCCTGTCTCAAAAAGCCAAAACAAATCAAAACAAAACTGCTATGTAAGGGGAGCTATACAGAAAGATTTCTAAAGTAAATGAGTATGTAAGAAATTACCAAGTGCATATTAAAGTTGAAAAATACAGTATAAATGGCTCTAAAAATTAAGTAGATGTAAGGCACAACGTGAAAAATTTGGAAAGGCAGTAGTGTTAAAAACTACTATTTTAAAGCGGGGCGTGGTGGCTCATGCCTATAATCCCAGCACTAAGGAGGCTGAGGCAGGAGGATCCTTGGGAGTTTGAGACCAGCCTGGGCTACAAAGTGAGTTCAAGGCCAGCCTGAACTACATAAACCTGTTTTATTTAGCTATATTCTGGCCACTTGGTAGTACTTTAAAATTTAAGAGCCTTCATAACAGCCTTATGAGGCAAATACTATTTATTACCCAATTTTACGGACAGAAAAGAAGACCATGAGCGTATTAGCTTAGTGTTCTGGGACTTCAGTACAGAGCTGGAAAACACTGGTAGAACTTTTCCTTCATTTTTGCTTCATCTATCTCAAAAGGTTGCATGAGGTAATACAGAGGGTCACAGATTCTGGAGCCACAGGACTTTTCAAACTGATACTCTGTATACAACTTGGGACTGGAAGACATAACTGCTTATGACTGGTGGCCTAAACTCAAAATATTTTACAATACACAAAGACCCGCTTCCATTCTATAAAAAGAAAGGGAATTGGAACAGAATGAGTACTGTATTGGTGACAGTACCTGATGTCACTTCCTATGGGAACACATGAGGCAAGCAGATATTTTGCAACAAAACTATGGCCAAGCACTATTCTAAGTGAAATGTATAGTCATTTAGCCCTCCCAGAAACACAGGGAGATAGTACAGTGATTATTTTGCATATGGACTATTGAAAGATTACATAATTCGACCACAATTGAAAAGTAAGTTTATAGAAAAATGAAATTGGAGCTACAATAAATTTGTTAGTAAGTACCACAGACTTGTTAAATGTGTTTCTAAGGTACTGATCCCAGAAGGAACTATGAAATTAGAGCATGACTTCATTTCAGGCTCCATTTAATTTTGTGTAAAGATTTGGGACCACTGTACTCTAAAATTCTATTTTTTTTTTAACCTATAAAACAGTATACTACTTACCTCACATGGTGAACTGATTTGTAAAGGCATACTGTTACTCTAAAGTGTCACAGAGACTTCGGAAGCGTTTCCTCTTGAAGTGATAATTGGTAATTTTGGCTGTGGATTGTGAGGGTGGAAAGCTGGGACTACCAACTCCAGCATGCAAAGCCTCCTCGCTTCCCTTCCCGGAAGCCCGCTCAGTGCCTTATGGTACTTGTAGTTATTTACTGGCGCCGGATCTCCTTTCTCCCTTAATAGGAGACTGTGTGCAAGCCCCGGAAGTACTACTCGCCTGAGAGGCGTGCTGATTAGGAATGAAAGGTCAGAGGTCGTGGGTCAGGAGGCGTTCCCGCTGCGCTCCTGGTCGCCCTGTCGCCTTGTCGCCTGGTAGTGGAGAGAGGCTGACTCCCACTCGCGAATTCTGGAAGGTTCTTGAGCTCCATTAGGGTAGCAGCCACAGTCTTCCTAGTCGCTGATTTCAGGTCCCCGCTGAGTGGAGCCGCCGCCGCCATGTTTGGCTGCCTAGTGGCGGGGAGGCTGGTGAGGACGGGGCGGGTGGTATCAGGAAGGGGTCAGGATACTGAGGGCGAAGTCGGGGGAACCGGGTTGATGTGCAGATGCTGGAGACTTCGGGAAACATACTAGTCTTTATTTGGCTGCTTGTATGGGATGCAGTGTAGGGACGTTAAGGTGCACTTCTGACTGTCCAGATATATTTGAATAGTAAGCAGTGTTACTTGCCATTTATGGAGGGTGCATGTTGTATGAAGTACTGGACTATGCAGTGCACTCCTTTTATTTATTTTTTTCCTCAGTTACTTGTTATTTCAGCCGTCTGTGCAGCGCTTATTAATTGTGATATGGTGATTATCATTTTATAGTTGAGGGACTTAAAACTCAGTCGGCAGTAGAAATGTTCTAAACTCGGGACGTGAGTTACAAGTACATCTGGGATTTTAATCTAGTTTGTAGCAGACTATCCAAGATGAAACTCTTTAGGCACCTTTGTAAGGATCCTGGTATAAATACGTTTAGTGTAATTGAAAGTTGGCGGATTAAAAACGCTGAAATATAGGTGCGAGCCCTTTGAGAAACTGGAAAAGGGTGCAAACAAGAGTTTTCTTGGTCAAAAGGGTAAGCTGCCTTGACAGGTTATTACAGTTAAATGACAGTGGTATCAAACACTTAAGGAGTAATCAGGAAGGCAAGTCCTAGTTTGCTTTCATAGAAACATAGACATCCACTTTTTCAATCTGGTTCCTTTCACTTATAGTTTCATTTCTGTTCTTTTCTTCCTTTGAGACAGGATCTCACTTTGTATTCAGGCTGGCCTCCAACTCACAGCGATCCACTTGGCTCAGCTTCCCAAGTGATAGAATTACAGATGATCACCCCGTGCCTGGCTGGAGGTTTTTCTTTTTACTTTCTATGTTAAATATCGCATCCCCTTTCGTTGAGATTTTTCATCCCTTTTTAATAACGTATTAAGTTTTGTACCTAATTTCAAGAAACCACAAAGACTACTAGCCTTAAACTTTACTGTCTCTTGAATGACTTAAGAGGGGATAGTGCTAGTTGGTAGTTTTGGTGATACAAAATTTTGGACTGCCGCTTCCTTTTTTTTTTTTTTCTGTGCTAGGAATTCCAATGCATAGTGACAGAGGGTTCCATGGCAACCTTCTGGCACTGTCCTTTGTGATGTTTTGAGATAAGCCCTTGCTAAATACCCAGGCTGGTGTCTGATGCTTCAGTAGCTGGGATTACAGATGTGAGCTCCTTTGACTAGTTTGCCCTGTTGTGTTTTGGGAAAAGTAAAGGACCAATTTGGGATGGGTGTCATCAGTGAAATTGAAATTAGGTGTCTTTAGAGAATAAAAAGCTACACAGAATCCATGTATCAGGTCAATCAAATTTGGAAGGAAATTTAAGCAGTTATCTCTTCACACAAGTTGTGTGATGAAAATTTCTTATACAGGTTTCTTTTAGACTTTTTGCGTGGGGGGCGGTTTTCTTTAATTCTGTAATATTAAGATGTGTAAATTAAAAATGAAGAGCATAAATCAAAATGAAGGATGAATAGACCTAGTGACATCTCAAAATTTATTCTGTTAATAGAAAAATGAAGTTAAAGTTTTAGCTGTAAGTTTTATTTTTTGAAATTTTTTATCTAAGTGTGAGGTACTCTTTATTTCTTAAGGATTAATATCAGGCTGAGGCAGGAGGATCACAAGTTAGGGCCTTGCTTCAACAATTTAGTAACATAGAAGTACCTAGACTGCCTTTTAAAAATAAGGCTAAGAATGTGCTGAAGTCCTTCAGTTCAATTCTCAATACTATACATGCACACACACAAAAGAATGAGCTCGTCAATACAGATTTACTCTCTGGTTCCTTGTACTGAGTTACGTTTTAAGAATTTTTTATTTTGTCTGGTAGGTATTTCAAGATTCAGAAGTACAGTTTTTCATACTGAGGTTAAATGTATTCTAAAACCTGATAAAAATTAATACTGATACAGTTTGGTTTTGTTGTTTTATTTTTTATATTTGAAGTAGGTTTTAAATTGTCAGAAAATTGAGAAGGAATGAGAACTCAGTCTGACATAGTGGGGTTTAATTTAGTGCAGTTGGTATTACAGAGGGAGAATAAATATTTCAGCAACAACTAGCAAATACTGGAAACAAAATAAGTTGCCATTTTGTC